CCAGGTTTATTCAGAAACTGAAAGCCAGCTCCCTCCTGAGGCTGATGGCTGCCAGTCCTTTCAAGTTCAGCTAAGCCCCTCCCACTCCTGTTTTGCATGTTGCCAGGGGAGATGAGGGGTGGTCAGGGACAAGCAGCAGGTGGGGCAGGAAGCAAAGAAACTCATCATTGCCTATAGCTCCCCCCCCCACATGCACACGCGTGCGTACACACACACACACACACACACACACACACACACACACACACACCTGGACCCAGCTGCCTTTTCCCTGCCATCCCCCACAGCCCCAGCAGAAGGGCCAGGCCACCGCTGGGGGGACACCTGCAGGGGAGCCTGCCCACGGGTTCCCAGCAGCTGTTTTCCAGGCCGGCTGACAGGCTGTTATAAACACTCGTTTTCAGTTGCTATGGCAAAGTGAGTGTGCAGTTCGGCTATGGTGAAGCTATTTATGTGCCTGTAATAGCAGAGTGGTCTGTTTTTTATTATTTTACTTTTAAAGTTTCCTTTCCCATCCCCCTAAAACAGCTTTAAAAAAAACAAAGGTCAGGGTTGGGAGCGGGGAGCCACCGCGACTTTCTCAGAAGCTAAGTCTACAGGTAGAAAATAGAGCACCAACCACCTGAGCCAGAAAGGGGAAGACCAGAGTGGGGACTTGCTGAGAAAGGCAAGTGTGGCTTCCGGCCACCGAGGTGCCCATCACCTGGGCTGAGGTGGGTGCTTACCCCAGCTCACTGAGGAGAAAGGCCAAGTTCCAGCTTCTTGTCACCTTGTTACTGTTCTGAGGACTGAGACAATTCCCCTTTGTTTTCTTCCTCCAGCATTTCTTAACGTCCCCTGTGCCCCCACAGACTGCACTCAGAATGAAGACAGCAAAGATCCTCCCATCCGGAGTCCTGGAAAGAGAGCCTCAAAGTTCCCACCTGTTCTGTGGGCCACTTGACCCCGAGCCTGGTCACACCCAGCTGGAGGCTTGGACAAGTTAGTAAGATGCCTCTGAAGAGACGCAGACCTTCAGCTTGCCCAGAGAACTTCCATCTAATTCCTATTCCTTGGGGAGCCCTGGGATGAAGGCATCTTCTTACATTTAAAAATGTATTGGGGCTGGGGATTTAGCTCAGCGGCATAAGTGCCTACCTTGCAAGGAGGCGGTCGTGAGTTCGATCCCTGGTACCGATAAAAGGAAAAAAGACAAAAAAAAAAAAAGCAGAAATTATTTATGGGGGCTGGGGATTTAGCTCAGCGGCAAAAGCGCCTGCCTTGCAAGCAGACAGTCGTGAGTTCGATCCCCGGTACCGATAAAAAAGAAAAAGACAAAAAAAAAAAAAAGAGAGAAAAATGTATTTAAGGTCACAGTAAGGATGGTGGGCACCTCTAGAGTGGGCATTCAAAGTTCATCCTCAGGTGCAGGATGATCAAAAGCGAGGTTGATTCCTCCTTAGGCCCTTCTATCTCCACGGTGACCTGGATGGGGCCACTACGGCCCTCTGCCTTGTCTACTCTTCCACCAAAAAACAAAATAACCGACAAGAAAAATAAATGGGCCATAGGTCATAGGGAGCTCAAGCGGGGCAAGTCACTAGCTGATATGTAAACACATGCAGAGCTAAGCTCCAAGTGTGTACTAACTCTGATAAATATGCTATAAGATGCTAATCACTTAATGGCATCTATGAGAGTCACCTTCCAGGAACAGCTGGTTGGAATAAAACAGATGCTGTAGGATTGGATCAGCCCTCTTTTCCACACCTCACTTTAGCTCCTTTTTGAGTATATACTTATTAGGAGGAAAAAGACCTCCCACGGCTGATGGGCATATTAATCAGATAAAAAATAAGGTTAGGACAGTGTTAAAAAGAACAAATTTCTAGAGATTACTCCAATTGCTTCCATCTCATAAGATAAACGAATGCCTCCCAGATACCACCATGGCTCAGAAGGGATACAGAATCAAGCCCCACAGTGACGAGAGGGCAGGAGAGGGAAAGGGTGGTGATGACCTCAGGAGGAAAGCATCCTTTTGCTGCTCTAGGAGAGGTCAAAGTCCGACTGACAGTGCCAGTTAGCTGACAAAAGTCTTGTTGGAAAAATCAGAACTTGGGACAGATATCAGTGTTGGCAGCACCTTAAGGTCAAAAGAGCACAGCAGGCAGAATTTCTAAGCCTGTCAAACCCACTGTCATCAGCTTCTCCAGTTTCTGGAGGGTAAAACAGGAAAGAGGAGGAGGTGAAGGAAGGATCCAGAGGAGGAAGGGGTATTGTCCTGGACAGAGGGGGGCAAGCTGGTAGTGGGGCACCCACTCCCAACCATGTTCCAGATAACTAGAGTGACTCTCCTAGGGCCTAGGGGCATTAACTCCAGCTGAGAGGCCTCTACCTGAGAACAGGTAAAAAGACAAAGATGTAGACCTGTCTCAGAATCCTAAGGTACCATAAGCTTCCAAAACTCCTGAGCTATAAAGAACGTCTGTTCAAAGGGCTCCGATCCACGGTGATGGACACAGGGCCCATTGTTGGAAGAGACAAAGGGCAGGCAAAGAGGTGACTCAGCCTCAGCTGGTCACTGTAGATGGAAGTCTCTCAGGAGAGAGAAAGCAGAGGAATTGTGTATTTTTCTTTCAAGTGAGCAGAAAGACTGTATCGCCTCTAGAACCCAGCCTCAGCCTGGGGCCTGGCTCACCATGTGGAATTAATGAATGAATCATCCTTTCTGCTTGAATACGTTTTCATTTCCAACAGACAGAAGAGTAGGGAAGTCCGAGAGGGAACCACTCTCCAGAGAGAATGAGCTATTGCAAGGTCCAAGCACCCCTTCAGCACTTGCCCTGTCTCCTCTGTCCTTAGGCCCTGGTGACCAGCCTGCAATCTTTCTTCTGCCTTATTCTCCAGAACAGAGTTGTTGGTGTGCGGGGTGGGGGCTGAGCCATCACTGTTGGGATTATCTACCCTCCAGGGAGCAATGAAGGAAATGTAACCCACTCCATCTAACTCCCACACACAGCATTCCGAACAGCACTACAATACCTCCAAGGAAAAGCCTGGAGGAGGACTGGGGGGTAGCTGCAGCGGTGGGGACATCTGTAGGGAGTAAATTAACACTGAATTGTAAAGAATCATGGGAAAAACACCTACTACTACTCTTCCCACCTCCTGGTTTTCTACTCTCAAGCTCATTCCCAAGCCTCTGGCTTAATTCCTTCCTATCTAGGTGTGACCCCTCCCCACACAAAATTTGCCCATTTCAAAATCTCAGTCTCGTCTCATTCTCTTTCCACAGTCCCAGAGTCAACCTAACGAGATGGTGTTTCATTCTCCTTACCTGGACGATTTCTGAATTCAAGCAGCCCTGTATGATTCTGCGTTGATTCACGAAGTGGAAGGGGGGAGGAAAATAGTGCCAGAAGGAAGGGAGGCACTTGTAGGGCCTTCCGCTGGCACCAGCACAGGGATGATCTGTCCCTGGAGTCATGGATGATGGTCCAGACACACTATGTATGACCACTCTGCATTCTCCCAAGCCCATCTGGAGTTTGCCTGGCTAAATCAAATATTTATGCTGCATCTAACTATGCTTAAAACCAACTGCTATCACGAAGGATGCGGAAATGAGGACCCCTAACAGAGATGAGAGAATCGGAAGGCTACAAAAACATTCCTATGAATTAAAAACAAAAGCCAAGTGCCCAATCTAACAGAGATAGGGGCCTGGCCTAAACGGGGAAGATGCCAGGAGACTAAACAGAACAGGCAGCCGAGCTATAATCAGACTTTTCCATGCTCCCACGGAAGCTAAAAATCCAAACCCTGAAGACGATGAGCTGGTCCTTTGCAACCACAAGCTCTGAGGTGGCTTAACTGTCCCTGCTCTGCTCCACTCTGAGCCCACAGGACCTATATAGGGAACATGTATACAGGGGATGCACTCAAACTCCCTGTGACAAGCTGCCTCATATCTCTCCCACCACTGTGCAGGGATTTGCAGAGAAACCAGAGGAGCAATAGTAACAGGCATCCTAACAGGGCAGAGTCAAGTTTTGGGTGCATCTCACACTATTTGCCTAATGTCTAACCCTGCACAAGCCAGCCAGAAAGAGCTTTCCCATTTCTCCAGCCTCACACACCCTGGCCAGCTGTTCCGAATTAGCAAGGTCTCCACCACCAGGGAACAGCCCTCTTCAGCAGGGGAGAAGGGCTGCTCTTCCTCCAGGGTCTCGGGCACTGAGCCCTCTCTGGGAGCAGCGGGATCCAAAGAGAAGCCGAGGACACGCTGGCCAGCTCTCGCCCCGCACTCCTTCACAGCAGCCAAGACAGAGGACTCTCCTTCATGGGGGGCACCCCGGGCGGACGGCGAGGCTATGGAAACTTTGCCGTCTAAGGCTGTGGAATTCTTCCACTGAGCTCCTGCAGTTAATCATCGCTGCTCCCTGGGTTCCCAGATTGGGCCTTTAAAAGGTAGCACCAGAGCAAGAAACACAAACATGTCAAGGAGAAGAACAAGAAAAAAAGCTGGTGTTAGCTAAAGGATTGCCACCTCCAGCACCAGGAGAAAGAACAAGTATAGACACACTGGAGTCCCTCGGCCCTGTTAGTCCATTCCCACAGGTCCTGTCCACACCTACTCTAGACTCTACAGCGCACCCCCTCTGCTAACCTATTTGGGAAAGGGTTGCTTAGAGGCTGGGATACTTTTTGAAACTTTCTACAAAGGGAGAAAAAACAGATCTGAAAAATCAGTGGCCCTGTTTCCTTTTGGAGAAAAAAAGTGCTATATCCAAATGTGGCCCGACATGCCTGGAATCCCATGGGAGGCCGAGGCAGGAGTACAAGTTTAAGGCCAGTCACAAGTTTATTTAGCACACACAAAAGTGTGTGTGTGGGCCGGGGTGCTGCTGATGTAGCTAAGTGTAAGACCTGGAGTTCAATCCCCAGGACCAGGGGGAAAGCGCTGGAGAACTTGCAGGCTTTGATACACTGACTTCCAAGCTTCCAACATGCTACAACAGGTTACCATGGTTCCCAAAAGGACAAACAGAAGTTTGGTCTAAAGAAGGGCAGAGGAATGCTGCCTTTTTCTTCCTAGAGACTGGCTTCTAGATCCAGGAAAGCAGAGGGATATGGCAAAATGAGAAGGTTACAGAAGCAGCGAGAGAACCCAGGCAGCCTGGACAACTCCCACGCTTCCTGAGGGACTAGAAGAAAGCCTGTTTCCAGAGCATACAGCCTGATTTGGAGGTAAGAGTCACCTAGGAAGCTAACAGGAAAAGGAGTGCCTCTCATCTGTACCACAGCCCACCAGCCAAACCTAGAGGCAGGGGATACCAGAGCCAAAACCGAGGGGCACTTTGGTAAAGCCAAGGGCCTCCAAAGCTTGAGGTCTAGCCTCCACCAGGCAGATGAGGTCAGTATCCCCAGAAGAGATGTGTGGAGGCACTGTCCCTCGGGATGGAGGTCTGTCCTACTGCTGACCCCTGCACAGGCATCAGTACACCGCTTCCCTAAGCCCCTGGTTGCTCAGGACTTTTTCGACTTTCGTTCCAAAGGAGCCAGCTGGGCAGGACCATGTAAAGCACCAAAATGCTAACATGTCCTCCCAGCAGGAGCTGTCAGCTGAATGTGGCCACCTGGCCTAGGAATTTTCTCCACCATGCTCTCCCTTGAGCCTGCGCCAAGCTTGGCTTCCACTGGAGAGGTGACAAGGAGACAGAGCTGTTTAGGGTTAGGATTGAGATGGAGTACCCTTACACTCTGCCACTTTCTCAAAGCAGAGGGGACCCAGGCTCAGCTGACCAAGGCCAGGAGACTTAATCACAATTCATTACAAGTAATTAAACAAAGTCCCTGGCCTCTTCAAGGAGCAAGTCCCCCTGCTTTCCCCACCAACCACATCAAACAAATCAAAACTTCAGAATCACAGCTTTGCAGGGGGACTGCAGGGTCAATCTGATACAAACCCCTTGGTTTCCTATTTAAGCAACTATGAGCTATACATTGTGCTAGGCACGGGGCAAACAGTTGATATCAGAAAGCAGGATGGAGAAAGGGGCAAACGAGGCAAAAACCCGAATTAGGTGTCAAATGTAACCATGCCCCTGGGGTCTACACTGCAGGCAGGCTTATGGCCATCAAGCAGGAGAAAGCTCACCTACAGCATGGGCTGAACAAACGGGAACTCACTTGTGTCTTTCTAGAGCTGCTACCTGCACAACTGTGTTTTGCGTGTGACTGCACCTAGACACCAGGTAAAGAGCTCCTTCAGAGACAAAGTCCACACTGTCTTTTGCTCAAGAACCAGGCTACCCTGAGCTATATTCATCTTTCTAAAATCTTTATTAAAGATGCTGTCAATCTGGCACATTTCCTTGGGCCACAAGACCTTAAGGACTGACAAAAAACCAGAAGTGAATCCAGTTTAATTAGGAATGTACCAGAAGCAGGCCTAGAGATGACAGATCTGAGCCAGGCATGGTGGTGCACACCTGGAGTGCCAGCACTCAGAAGGCTGAGGCAGGAGGATCGTTGCAAGTTTGAGACCAGTCTGGGCTACAAAGAGAGCTCAAGGCCAGCCTGAACTGCATAGCGAGACCCTGTCTCAGATAAAAAAGATGCCAGGCCTACTCTCCTGGGTAAGCACTTGCTTCTCACAGCCCTTCCCAATCTGTTCTTCCTCTTCCTTTCCTACTTGGTCATCCTCACCAAAGGCCTTGGCTTGTTGCTGGAGTCTCCCATTGTCTCTGGCTACCTTGTTCCTGTCTTTCCCAGTCCAGGTCCATCCTGGCTCTGTGGACCAGGAAGACACTGCTTTTTCCTTTTCATAGACTCCACCAGAATCTCTGACTTTTCCAGCTATTATCTGGGAAATCGATCTGCCTGCAGTTCCTCATCGAGTGATGTCAGAAACTGAGGTAAGAATTCATATTGGGGTAATGCTTCCCATTTTCAAAGCACTATGACATTTGATCTTTGTTATAATCTTAAGATAGACAGGACTGATGATATTATTCCGTCCACAGATTTTATAACATGAGATCTTAAAGATAATGTGACTCACCCAGCTAAGGCTGTGCAACCACAGAAAGACCAGAAGCAGCTAAGATATACTACAAGCTCTGAAGTCCTCTAAAGGAAGTGAAGACAAACAATTCATCAGAAAACAGAAAAGTACCCTCCATGAGAGTCAGATCATTTTAGGCCTGAGCAGGGCACTGGAGCTGGGGGATTCCAGTCCTGATGAGCTCAGAGGATTAAAATAGATTTCTCCTCCTTCCTCCCAGAGGTGAATGTGAGACATGCTAAGTGTACGTGTGATGCCTGTATGTGTCATCCTCAGTAGCTGTGGACACCTTGAGGGTGCAGACTGTGGTCTAGAGACAGAAGCTGTGCAGCTTCTGGTACACGGAATGGGTGCAAAAGGGAGAGGCCAGAGGAAGAGTCAGAGAAAGGGAGAGGGAACTCCCAGTCCAGAGAAGTCTAAATAAAGATGACAGGACACACCCATGAAGGCCTGTGATTATAGGACAGTCCATAGAGAAAGACAGAAGGGCTCTGAAGCCAAGCAGGGGAGTCAGAATGACTAAGATTGCTAATGGGAGAAAATGTAAAAAATGAAAATCAAGGAAACCCCCAAAACATGAGAGGAGCTGGAGGGAGAGAAGCTGCCATTTCCTAGACTCTGGGAAACAAGACCCCTGGTGTGTGTGTGTGTGTGTGTGTGTGTGTGTGTGTGTGTGTGTGTGTGTAGTTCTTTCCCAGGACAAGTGGGCATAGGCCAGGTTGTGACCCAGGACCACCCCTTTTCTCCAGCCAGTGCCTGTGGGTGCAGGTAAGGTCATGCACATTGAGTTCCTGTTGAGAAGGGAACTCTGCAAAGTGAAGCCCAGAAGAGGCCTCTGAGCAGAGTTTATAAACAGATTCTCTATGTTCTCCACTTACCATGGGGAGAGGACCTTCAGCACCTCACTTTAGGAACTAGGTTTTCTCTTTGTATGCATTGGGATTATGCATACAGGCTCTAAAGAGCCTGATTAAAGAAAGGAAAACCTTTCAGAGTGATGCATAAATGGGAGGCTGAAGCAGGAGGACTGCAAGCTTGAGCCCAGACTGGGTAACTCAGTAACTTAGTGAGACACTTTCTCAAGACGACCAAACAAACAAACATAAACAGCTGAGACTGTAACCCAGTGTGAAGGCCTAAGTTCAAACCTCAGTACTCCCCACCCAAAAAAAAGAACGAAAGAGAAAGAGACGTCACTGGCAGAGGAACAGATAAGCCAAGAGCCCTGTAGATCCATCTCATGGAATTATTCATGGAAGGAAAGTCCAACACATGCTATGACATAGAAAAGCCTTGAAAACATCCTGCTAAGCGACATAAACCAAACATAAAAGGTCAAACACCATGTATTGCACCTACCTGAAGTTCCTAGAATAGGCAAATTCACTGAGATAGGAAGAGAGTGGAGGTTACCAGAGGGTGGACAGAGGAGTGGGGGTTACACTACAACAAGGGCAGAGTCTGGGTGAATGAAAGTTCTGAGGGTATGGGGGTGATGGTTGCACACGGTATGAACTAATTGTATACCTAAAAATTGTTTAATGGGCTTTTTTTTTTTTTGAGGGGGCTGTACTGATATTGAACCCAGAGGTGCTCTACCACTGAGCTACATCCTCAGTACTTTATATCTTGCTAAGTTGCCTAGCTGGCCTTGAAATTTCAATCCACCTGCCTCAGACTCTCAAGTAACTGATTACATGTGTGTGTGCCATTATGCACGGCATGTTTTGTATATTTAAGCAAATACAAAAGCAGTGCTGATACAGATAGGTGAGGAAGGTGGTGAAGCAGACCCAAGAACTGAGTTCAGGTCTGTGGCACCCCAGCTGCACTGTCACCAGACCAGCCCGTCATGGTCATGAGAGTGAAAGGCCACCTGCTTCCCGTGATAGAGCCTGTGAGCTGCTTTGTAAACATTAGGCTTCTTCCCCTGTTGCTGTTCTACTAGGGATTGAAGGAGGGCCTTTGCACTGAGCTACACTGTAGCTCATTTTTACTTTGAGAGGGTCTTACTAAGTCACTAAGTTTCTTAGGTTGGACTTGAACCTGGGATCCTCTTAACCTCAGCCTCCCAGAAAGCTGGGATTACAGGCATGCACCACCTCGGCCAGCCATCAGGGCTCTTTCTCAGGGACCAGCCACCTCTTAAAGTACACTGCAGTGGTCCAGCACACTGGCTCAGTGAATGAAGCTAGACCCAAATACAGATGGATCATGACTTCCTGCTTGGCCTTGGGAAAGTCAATGTCTCCGGATTCTCAGTTCTGGTATTGATAGAATGGGAACAACAATAATACACATTTCACAAATAATCTAGGTAGAAACACACAATGCTACCATCTAGTAAACAACCAGATATAGCAACTGTGAAATAACCCTGAAAATAATCAGCCTTGAAAACTAGAGATAAAAATTGCCAGCCCCAATCAGCCTGTCTTTGCCTTACCTGTGTCCATTATAGAGTAGCCATGGAGCAAAAGAACAGTGAGGTTTAATTTGCATGGCCGTCCCCATGGTAACAACCGTCTAGGCCTCATTTTCCGTTAGGTCTTATTTTCTAGGAAACATAGGCACTGAATGCTGTCAATCAGCCTTTTACACCTGTTGGGTAGAGAGCCACTAGGATCTTCTCACCAGTCAGAAGGTAAAGATTAGTATAGCATTTGGTAGAGGAGAGAGAGAAGCTTGAATCTTAAATATCTAGGCCTTCACACTGGGTGACTTTGGAGAAATCCCCTACCAACAACATGTCCCCATTAGGGATCACCTAGAATTTGATGAGCTTATTCTGTGTCAAACATTGTCTGGCTTATGTCTACATTAAAGAAAACTGAGAGGGCATATTCTATGCTCACAGTCAAAAAGTTCCTAAGTAAAAGAGGTGGGCTTTATATGTGCTTCTTTTTATCAAGTTCTTTCAGAGCTCCAATTTCCAAATCCTTAGACTAGAATTTATATTTATGCCCATTTAATTCACTACCTGCCTTGTTGGTTTGGTACCAGGAATCGAACTCAGAATCTTGTGCTTGCTAGGCAGGCACTGTGCCTGAGCTATATCAGCAGCCCTTTGTTTCTCATTCTGAGATAGGATCTGAGTTGCCTAGGCTGGGCTCCAACCCAGGATCCTTCTGCCTCAGCACCCCATAGTGTGGGGATAACTGGTGTGTAACACCTCGTCTTGCTTTCTGGTTTCGCATGTGTACATATATGTGGTGCTGGAGATCCAGCCCTAAGTGTTTGCTCTCTCCTCTCTCTTTCCTGCTAGGGATGGGGACAGAACCACTCCAACCGCAATATCATTGTGCTATACCTCTAGCCCCTAACTCACTCATTCTCTGCCTTTTGGATTTACCCTAAACTTATTTAACCTTGGTGTTTTGCAGGTGCATTACAATGTAATCAAGTTTATACATAAGGCAAATTAAGTCTCATGCATTTGACGCTTATATTTCAATAACTCCTCAACATCACTTCTGCAAATATTTCATGCTCCTACTTTCTCCATTATCTCCTTCTAGAGAGCACTCATTAAACGTGTGTAGGGGATCTTTTTACTCAATTCTGGAGGTCTGCAAATTGTGACATGTGGGCCCAATCTGATCTGCTGCCTGTGTCTGTATGGAACGTTTCATTGCACATAACCACGCCCATTCATTTACATACAGTCTGTGGTAGCTTTCAACTGAAATGGCAGGGCTGTGCAGTTCCAAAAGAGACCATGTGGCCACAGAGCCTAAAATACTTACTCTCTGGCTGGGCATTTATAGAAAACTTTGTCAACTTTGGCTCCTTTCTCTATGCCTCTCCCATGTATTTTATTTTTATCTCTTTCATCTAATACATATTTTGTCAGAAATACCTTGTAATTTAATAATTTTTATCATTAGCTCCAATATACTATGGAATCTAGCCATGTGTCAATTTTCAAAGGGCTGGGGGAGTTAGCTTTGGCCATTAACCCTTAGTACTTTCCCTGCAAAGTGGGAATTATATCATTATTATATGTCAAGTTGCGGGTGCTGGTGCATGCCTGTAATCTTGGCATTTGAAAGGTTACAGCTACGGCAGGAGGATTGCCATGAGTTTGAGGCCAACCCGGACTACACAGTAAATTCAAGACCTACATTCTGAACTACGTAGTGAGTTCAAGACCTATATTCTGAACTACATAGTGAGATCTTGTCACCAAAAATAAATATATAAATACATGTCAATTTTCTCTATTCCATTCTTCATTTTTTTTTTTTTTTTTTTTGGAGACAGGGTCTCTCTATGCAGTTAAGGTTGGCCTTGAGCTCACTTTGTAGCCCAAGTTGGTCTTGAACGCACAAGGATCCTGCTGATCCTGCTGCCTTTACCTCCCAGAGTACTTATAGGCATGAGCTACCTAGGATCAAACTTATGACCTTGCACCTGCAGGCAAGCGCCCATGCCATTGAGCTAAATCCCCAGCTAGAAGTCCTCTTTGGTTCTTTGCCCTGTCTGCCTGGTCAGCTGAGTTTTTGCCATTTTCTTTCAAATATCCTCTTATTTGTTTTAACATATTGCATGTATCTTTTATTTTCTGTTTCTGAAAATGCGAATACCTACAATTTCTGTTAAGTCTGAGTGGAAGTGTCATTTCTGTTGCTCGATTTCATTGCTAATTAGAAAATGCAAATCAGAAACTTTAAGAAGAGATGTGGATCAATAGCATCTCTTATACATGACTAGTAGGAGTAAAGCCTACCACAGACTATGGACACAATGTGTCATTGTGCTGTACAGTTGAATACTCACACACCAAGACTGAGCAATTCCACTCCAAGAGCTGCACCCATGAGTAACTCACACACATGCAACCTATGACACACGCAGGAATTTGTGAGACAGCACTGTTCTTTATGCTGAAAAGGCTGCTGCTTGGCCAGTAGAATTTTATATAGCGGTGAAAACGGATGAACTGTAGTTATACTCAACAAGGATGAATCTTAGTACTGTACCAAATGAAACAAGCAAGTCCGACAAGGGTGTACATAGAACATTTTTAAAGGAAAATAAAATTAAATAATGTATTTCTTTAGACATGTTTATCAACAAACTGATGCCCAAAAACCTCAGATAGTGGTTGTGATGGGTGACGAGGCAGAGAGTCAGGAAGGGCACTTAGAAGGACAAAAGTTAATGATAACAGTCTGGTTTTGGCTTGGGTTGTGGGTTCCAGTAGTTCAAATACATTAATAAGCCATAATAAAAAGAATCAAAAAGGCACAAGCTAGTGAGCAAAATATTATGAACCTTGACTTTAGATGTATCCAATTTTGTGCATCTGAGAAATGAAGCAAAAGGGATAGAAGTAGGCCAGAGAAGGAGAGAGAGAGAGAGAGAGAGAGAGAGAGAGAGAAGAAAAACGAGTTTCCACCTGCAACCCCCTTTTTTTAACTTACACACTCCAAAGGTAGCAAGACTCTCTTCTGGACGTGAAGTTTTGTTGACAATTTTATGGCCTAAAATTGTCCTTCAACAACCAGCACTCAGAGAGGCTGACTCAGGGTCTCAGGTTCAAGCCCACTCAGGGTGACTTAACAACTTTGGGAGAATTTCTCTTGAAATACAAAGTAGAAATAAGATGGGTTAGGGATGTAGCCCAGCGCAAAGACCCAAAACACCTCAGTCGGAGCTGTATGCTGCATCTGAACAGCTCAGCTTACTAAGAAACAACCAGGAATTAATGAATTTGGGAATTCCGACCTGGGGTGGCAATAAAGCAGCAGGACAGAGGCGCTGGTCGCAGTCCCCCGTCTAGGACCCTGAGTCACAAGGGGAAAGCACAGCAGCAAGGCAGAGAGGAGCCGGCGGGGCTGGGGCTTTGCGTAGGGAGGGCTGCAGCAGTCACCGCGCTTAACAATGGAAGGAGACTGGGCTCTGGACAGCCGCCAGCCAGCCCCAGTCTAAGCGCATCTCTAAGATCCACAATAAAACCGCCCGGGACCAAACCCAAATCCCTCTCCGCAAACTTCCTGGGCCCTAAAAGGAGATCAGTTCCACCCAGGCAGGAGTTGACGGAGGCGGGGTCTGCGGCAGGGTCTGCGGGGCGGAGGCTCTGTGCGGCTCCTCCCACCCTATCCATCCAGTCCACCCCCTGGCTGGGCATTCCCTACCCAGCCCGCCCCATGTCTGGGATCAGCAGGAAAAGCCACTGCCTAAGCCTCAACCAAGAGGCCAAACTGACTCAGGCTGGCTTCAACCTGCAGCAGGGATCGCTCTTCGCGGGGGAATCGGTGACCCCCGCGGCCAGCTCTGGACCCCAAGACTCTTGCCTTGCAGACAGAACCGTGGGGAGGTACCTGGCACCGCTAGGGGGCCCGCCCCGCCCTCAGTCGGCCTCTCTGAAACAAAACTGATCCTGCTGCCAACACCAACTCAACCAGGGAGCCAGGGCCCAGCCCCATCCTTTCAATCAGTGATTAATCAAGGGATGCGCGGTGAGAGGTCAAGGGCAAAAACTGGAATGACTGGGCTGTGAGGATGGAAGACCTCCAGGCAGGGGAAGTGTGCCCAAGGGAGTGTGCAGTGACCCTCACTCAGCAGCGGGGAAGAGGGGAGGCAATGTAGAGAGCATCCCACCTCCCCTACCCCTGGGGAGACTGGGTCCAGGGTGGAAGGTGTCACCTGCCTGTCAGGGGTCCAAGGTTTCCTGCACTTCAAGCCTTCCAGTCTCTGAACACCTAATCTGGTTCGCAGCACTTTACATTTTTCAGAGCACTTCACTTCGGATTTCTAGTCCCGCTAAAGGAACAGGACAGTTCTTTGTGGTTAGAGACAGATGGTGTGGTTAGGACCTGAGGTTCAAGGGTTAAGTGACTTGCTGGCGTTATACTGCTGCTAGTAACAGGATCAAGAGTGGAAAGTCAACTAAGGGACATTTAGTATTTTAATGTCCCTTCATTTTTCAGTGTCCCACTCACACTTGCTCGGACCATCTCCCATCCCAACAGGGCAAGTTCGCACCTAGTCAAGAGAGGGTTCGAACTATATCGGAGTTGGAGAAAGGCCTGAACCTCAGGATGGTAGGGAGCACAAAGAGGGCATTTCCCATACTACATCTTCATAACTAGCTGAGGTGTTTGTAGGTGCTCTCTGGCATACACAGCACTTGCACATCCATTTTCTCATGTAATTCTTGTAATAATCTTGTAAAGTATGATTTTGGGAATGAATATATATATGATTTTTTGGTAGAATTCAGGGTTGAAACCAGAACCTTGCACACACCAGCCAAGTGCTCTACCAATGAGCTACATCCCTGGTCCACACCAGCTGATCTATTTTAAGGAGTGAAAAGGTTGTTTCAGCAGTTAAAGGGGCTGTCCCATAACAACACACGGTTCTCTTCCTGTTGTTACAGGAGACTTTGAGTCAACCAATGTAATAATGCAGAACCCTCTATATTCATGCTAGAAACCCCAAACCTCTCTTTCCCTATTCCTGATCAGGCTCTCTCCCTCCCCCACATCCTCTCCAAGATGCCCAGGAAGGAGAAAAGTGAAAGGTGAGCCCTGCAGGGATTAGGGGTAGACAAAAGCGGTCCCAGACCTTCCTGGAATCACACAGAAGGTGGTGCCAGTTGGTGGATGAACCTGAGATGCCATGTCCCAGCCCCCATTCTGTACCGTACATGCATACCGACATGCCTTGGACAAGGGTGCATTGTTGCAGAGGCCTTAGTTATTGCTTTTTCTCTTTTGAAGTATTGGGGATCGCACCCAGGGCCTTGCAAATACTAGGCAAGCAATCTCTAATGCTGACCTGCACCCCCAATCCTATTTTATTTTGAGACAAGATCTCACTAGGTTCAAGGCTCAGCTACAACTGGGCTATAACTTGTACTCTAGGATACAGACATGTACTAGCCTGCTTGGCTTGTTTGTCAGTCCTGATTTTAAGTAGCCAATTGGTACAACCTTCCAGAGGCTGCCACTCTAACTGCTGAAGCATCCTAACTGCTGAAGGTGTCAAGTGGCCTATTAAAGACATAGAGCTCTCTGTCCCCATTGTACACACTAGACATTGGCTTCACTTCCAGCCCTAGGTTTGATAATCAGCTTTTGGTTGGTGATAGCAGCTTGATCTCCCTGACTCTTTTCTACCTTTCCCTCCCTGCTCTTTATGGATGAGCTTTTGAGGTGTTTTTTTACAAGTTTCATTAAAAATATAGTGGCAAGCCAGTTGTAGTGGCACATGCCTATAATCTCAGGACTCTAAGAGGCTGAGGTAGGAAGAATGCAAGCTTGAGTCTTAAGCTTAGTGACTTAGCAAGAGGGAATCTGTCTCAGAATAAAAAAAATAAAAAGCTCTGGAGATGTAGCTCAGTGCAAAGGCTCTGAGTTCAAGTCCCTGGATCACAAAAACAAATGACAATTTTAAATAAAAAATAAAAGTAAATCTCTACTGCACTTAACTTGCATTCATCCCTGTCCATGTAGAAGAATGAAGGCAGGAAAGTCTCTTGGTTTTCCCTAGCAGAGGCCAGTGTGAGAGCTCAAATCCAGAGGAAGAGCCAGCCTCTCTGCCATGAATGAGTAATCCCACTCACCGGTTTATAGGGGGGCTTGATTCAGGGTGTCCCACGTCTTTCATAAAGCTGAGCCTTTGCATTTTTTTTTTGTCTTTTTTTTTTTTCTTTTTTATCGGTACTGGGGATCGAACTCACGACTGCCTGCTTGCAAGGCAGGCGCTTATGCCGCTGAGCTAAATCCCCAGCCCCGGAGCCTTTGCATTTTTAACCCCTACTTCAAACGCACCCACCCGTTGGCCTGCTCAGTTTCTCCACCCTAGAATGGGGTCCAGGCATGCAGAGGGAGGAGGCTCTCCCAAAGGCTACCCAGGAGTTCTAAGCCATGTCACATCTGTGATCGCCTCTGTGATCTGTCATCTGGGTTCAAATTCCTGCACCCCACCCAGGCTGGCTCCAGACAGTCAGTTTCAAGGCACAGCCTTGAGGAATTGACTGCTCTATTTCTTTTCTAAAAGCACACTGATCTTTTGTCTGTATTAGTGGATTCCACTGAACTGAGTTAGGGGCTGACTTGGGGCCAATTCCTTAGGATACAGAAAAATGCTCGTAATATAGTGTTAGGTAGAAAAAGATTAAATCAGTAGCTTTATAGTTAAATGTTCTGTTTTTTAAAAATGCCCATACCAAGTCTATCATGATGGTTTGCACCTGTGATCCCAACTATTCAGGAGCCTAAAGCAAGAGGACTATACCCAGCCTAGTGACACAGTGAGAATTCCTCTTTGAAACAAAAATGTATACATTCATCTATGTAAGGAATAAAAGCACAAAATATTCAAAATATTAATAGTACATCTCTGGATATATGAATTTTATTTTTTTTCTTTCTGCTTTTTCCCAAGCTTCCTAAGATGATCTTGAGTAGGAGCAGCACAGAGCTCAAACTCTGGAACCCGAGAGAAATAGTTTGAATTCCATATCCTCCACTTAGTAGTCGTGAGACCTTGGATAAAGTGTTTTATTTCTGTAAGCCTTTCTTTCTTTTTTTTTCAAGGGAGGACAGGAACCACATCTTCCTCGTAGGGTTGCCATGAGGCAGAAATGAGGTCATGCAATTTTAGCATCTCACTTGGTGGCTGATACAGAGTATAAGTGCTCAGTAAATGTTAGTTATTTGTATGTGTTAGTTATTTTTATACACAGGAAGAGTAAATATCCTTAAAAAAATATACAACTTTGCTAAAAATTCATGATTCACGGGCCAAGGATACAGCTCAGTGACACAGCACCTGCTTGGCAAGCATGAGATTGTGAATTTGATTCCTAGTACTAATAAATAAATAAATAAAAACTCACCATTTGCATTGAAGAGTACTCAGAAAAACAACAAAAACTTTCCAGAAAATTCGGTGTCTCTCAAAGAAATA